CAGCCCCATGGGGGGGGGGGGGGTAGAGCAATCTATTCCTGGAGCCATCTCTGAACTGCTGTCATAGAAAAGCCTTCATTGTCTTTATAGGATGTGGAAGGCTCCATTATATCCACAAAAGGGATCCCTTAAAGTACGACACACTATGTATTTTTGGACCATTTCCATGCTTTAGTTTTGCCATTGACAAGAAGATGTGAGACTTGTGTAGGCCTGCGCCTTTGTTAGAGCAGCTCTCCCCTCTCCTATGGGCCCATTGTTCCCCCTACAGCAGATGGTGTACAATGAACTGCACAAAGCCAGGAAGTGAAGGGCACCACGGCTGCAGCAGTGCCATCACATCTACTACGCCTGTCTACAAGGGTTAGAAATGCTTTACACCGGGATCTATCGCTGGCCAGAGGACAAGTCAAAAATATGGGCACAATTCTGCCAACAGCCATATATCAACAAACAAAAGTGTTCATACATGACTTATGAGCCTGATCTACAAACACGGACAGTAAAGCACAGCAGTTGCCCATAGCAACCACACTCTGAAAGGTTATGGTGGACTACTATGAACCAGGTACTAGACTTTTTTCTGATCCTATTTAGCTGATATCCCCCCCAATTTTGGGGGGTTTTGCACCCCCTCTTACCTTGTTTTCTGGGTTATCCCCAATAAACATACTCACACACCCTGCAAATCCAGCTTTGTCCTACTGTAATCTGCCACAGTGCACACCAAGTCCTGTGCCGCCATCTTCTCTTACATTGGGTCCCTCTTCCTGGTTCTTACAGAAGCCTCTTGACGACGCACAGCACCGCATGCGCTTTTATGAAAGCTTATGAATAGCCTCTTTAAAATACTACTATTCCGCCATGTACAGCTACAACACCCAATGTGTTATGATGCTCCAGATCCAGCATCTGCATAGGGAAAGCTGCTGTCACTGCCCCCTGGAAATGACATGAAAGATTTTCCTGCACGCTGGAAATTCTCTCCGTGTTGATTGCCAATGGGCAGCTTTGTATGTATTGGGCAATGCATGGCCTGCTAGCAGGAAGCTCAATGGTGGAGCAGGGATCTCCTTGATCTCCCAGTACACTGATGAAGGTCTCACCTTGGCTCGTTTCCTGCGGCTGGTCCTGCGCCCCTCCGGGGTCTCCGGTAACCCCCCGGCCCCCCCTGCTCCCGCCATGATCCCGATTGCGGAGGGCGGGCCATGCTCGGCCCCGGGGGAGGCTCTCTCTTTCTTCCTGGGGGTCCTCTCTAGTGACGCCCCGGCGTCCGGAGAGGCCATGATCCCGGAGGAGGAGGAAGACGACGACGAGGATGATGAGGCCGAAGAAGGGACAGGAGGCTGAGACTCCGTGCCGTTCTCGCCGCCGCCGCCCCCGGTGGACTCTGGTTTCTTTGCAGCTAGCATTGGGTTTAGATGGCGGCTCTTGAGTAAGGAGGAGGGCCTGTGGGGTAGAGGTGGGCTCAGTGCGCCGATGATGGGTGGAGTAGTTGACACTGCGCTGCACACACCGGCGACCGAAGCTTTGTGTCTGCGAGGCTCGAGCACACGGCGGTCCGTAGCGGGAGCGCGCAGCCCAGTCTCAGACCCCGCCCCTCGGACGAACCGCCCATTCGCGCTATGTGCTGTTCCTCACCTGCAGTCTCCGCTGTCGGCGCCCCTCCCCTCAGGGTATCCTCCGCTGCACGTCACGTGATCGTAGGGCTTTAAAAGAAGAAGCTATGGAGCCGCTGTCTGAGACTGATTCACTTATAGTCTACCAGCATCCAAGGAGCTGTGCCATACTCGCCCATTATTCCCGGATTTGGCTCTGGACAATTGCTCTCTGATTAGCAGGGTTTACTAGATGTCTATTAAAGTGTATCAAACGGCAAAATGTGCTTTAGAGTGCAGAATGAGTAAACCTCGGTCAGGATTTATTTGCTCAAGCCATTTGGGAGCATTGAATGTACTTCCTGTCCTAGAAATACAACAGGAAGTGAGAGGGAATCCCCTCTAAGGGTCACCATACAAGTTACTATCTGACTGTTCAATCAACTTTAGATTTACCAAATGTAATATGAGGTCCTACTAAAGTATCCAATCAAGGAGACACCTGCACTACGTAGTTGTTGGTAGATGTAAAACTGTCCATATATTATACAATCTGATTGCCCAAAATCCGTTACAGCTATTAGTGCCTGTCTGATTGTATACCGATAGATTAGGTAGGTCCTCATATTACATAGTTTTGGTAAATCTAAAGTTGACAGTACATAGATTGTATTACCAGATTGTATGGTGACCCTAAAGGTGCCCATACACTGTACGAGAATCGCTGGAAATCCCGCGATCGTACGAGAATCGTACAGTGTATGGAAGGCGTGCGACCGTTTCTTCTGTACGGTCGCACGTCTTCTGTCGAACAAGCAGGCTTGAATCGTACGATTCTCGGCGGGTTAGTGGCCTGCTTGTTCGACAACTGCCGAACATCACTGCCACACTGCCCGTTTGCAGTGATCGGAAGCCCGCCCCTCACTGCGGTCATCGGAAGCCTGCCCGCTTTCGATGATCGCAAGTACGATCTGCCCGTCCAAGATGGGCAGATCGTACGAGCTTTCAATGAGCTTACGACCATCGCAAGACAAAGGTCTTGCGATGGTCGTAAGGTGTATGGGCACCTTAAAGATTGTAATGTATGTGGCAGTTAACGTACACTAACCATTTATTATACATTCTGATTGTGTAATCTCCTTTAGATCATCACATTTACTCTAGGCCTCATTCACACTGATAAGAGTCGGCCCGTACAGATCTGCGCGGCGTGCACGGCTGTATCGGGCCGCTCGTGGGAAGGACAGGTGATGTGTGTGATTGTCCTATGGGAGTACGCGGTCGTACGCTCACCAGAACTGCACATCCGTGCTGGTGCAGGTGTCTGTACTCATACGCAGACAGGATGGATCCTCTCTGCATCCGAGCACAGACAGCCACCACCGCACGGACGTGCAGTTCGGGTGAGCGTACCACGGCATACTCCCATAGAGAAGAACAGGCTGCTGCGTACAAATCACATGCAGCACCTGTGCCCCCCCGGGAACGGCCGTGCACGCCGCACAGATCTGTACGGTGCCGACTCTTATCAGTGTGAATGAGGCTTTATAGTTTATGTGCAGATCTAAATGTGCGTCTGATGTCAGGTAAAGCAACCTTACAAGTATAAAATAAAATGGTTCCTATTTAGCCCTATTAACCATTAGTTAACCGATATCAAGACTAATTAACCCCCTCCTCCCCTGAGCTAGTATTGTTCTGCATTATTTATTCCTTTAACACTAAAGATGAGTCTGCTTATATTTTGCCTCGTTCCCTTTCCCCCTCTCATCAACATGCTAATGACATTTTTAAAATAAAACCTATCTGTTTTCATGACATACCTTATTTTAGACCTAGCTGTGTCATCTCTGGGTCTCTGTGCTTCTCTGTATAATGCAGGCAGATCATGGCTGGTTGGGAGGGGTCGGCAGGCTGCTGTACATAACTTCCTGCTTCAGTACTGCTCTCAAAAGCCCCCAGTCCTGATGCAAGCAGTGGACTGGATCATGGGAGGAGTTGTCCAAATGTCAAAATTCCTGATGGGTGGATGTCAGTCTGAAGGAGTGGGAGTTCCCAGGTAGACTGTATTTGCATGCAGACTACCCTAGGTAACACCCACATGTGATACTGAGCCTCCATAAGTGAACGGAAATCTGATAAATGAAAGGGATGGACCAGGACAGTCAGGCTGTGGATTAAAGGCTAGATGATGCTGGAAATGTGTCAGCACAGCCAAGGCCGGATTTACTCTCTCTGTGACCCCAGGGCCGGTTTCATCAATCCCACCCCCCATCCCAATGGAGAATGGCAACCAGATGGCAGGGACGGCAGGGTTTTAATTTTTTCTTTACTATTTGTTTAATTTTTTTTTTCTTTTTTTTTAATTTCTATTTATTTTTTTACTTTTTTAAAACTTTTATTTGTCTTATTATCTTTTCCTTTATTATTTTTAAAAATTTACTATTGTAGCACTTTTTTATTATTATTTCATATTATTTTTCACTTAGTTTAAATTTTTTTAATCATTTTTAACTTTTCATAATTTTTTTTATTTCAAATTTTTTTTCCACTTAACTTTATTGCTATCACACAGGAGCTAACAAGCCCCTGTGTGATAGCATTTGGAGGTGACAGGTTCTCTTTATGGAACCTGTCACCTCCAAAACAGGAGTTCTAGCACAGCACCCCTGAAATTCCAGACCTTGGTATGAATTTGCTGTGTGTTGGATGCAGATCTCACTGGTGATATCACAGAAAGGGCACCTCCCTGATATGAGATGGGAACCTCCCTGAAATAAGGTTTTGCAGGTTGGGATGTCTGGGAAGTGAGCTGTGTGTTGTATACACTGATCTCACTGGTGATATGTATACTGGGAAGTGAGCTGTGTGTTGGATGCAGATCTCACTGGTGATATGTATACTGGGAGGTGAGCTGTGTGTGTTGGATGTAGATCTCACTGGTGATATGTATACTGGGAAGTGAGCTGTGTGTTGGATGTAGATGTCACTGGTGATATGTATACTGGGAAGTGAGCTGTGTGTGTTGGATGCAGCTCTCACTGGTGATATGTATACTGGGAAGTGAGCTGTGTGTGTTGGATGCAGCTCTCACTGGTCATATGGATACTGGGAAGTGAGCTGTGTGTGTTGGATGCAGATCTCACTGGTGATATGGATACTGGGAAGTGAGCTGTGTGTGTTGGATGCAGATCTCACTGGTGATATGGATACTGGGAAGTGAGCTGTGTGTGTTGGATGCAGATCTCACTGGTGATGGGCTTGGGCGTGTTCGCAAGCGCCTCGTGCAGAGCCCGCCAGGAAGCCGTCAGCGTGCAGGGTCAATCGCAGGCACTGAGACATTTCCTGATCTCTGCAGCTGCGACCGGGAACATGTCTCAGTGCCTGTGATTGGCTGCGGGTCGGCAAGCGCCGCGTGCAGAGCCCGCCAGGAAGCCGTCAGCGTGCAGGGTCAATCGCAGGCACTGAGACATTTCCTGATCTCTGCAGCTGCGACCGGGAACATGTCTCAGTGCCTGTGATTGGCCCTGCGCGTTGATGGCTTCTTGGCGGGCTCGGCACGAGGCGCTTGCGAACAACCCCGAGCCCATCACTACTGGTGATATGGATAGTGGGGAGTGAGCTGCGTGTTGGATGCAGCTCTCACTGGTGATATGTGTTTTGTATTCTAATATGCTAATGCTTCAGAAACAAGTGAACATGATCAAATAAATAAACATTTTGTTCTAATGGTAAAAAACAAAATCAGAAAAAGATAGTAGTTGGGGCGAACGAAGGATTACATAAGTAAAATAAAATATATATTTTGTAACCTTTAGGTTAGCTTCAGCATCTCTGTCGTAAAATAGTTACATTGTCATTGAGTGGTCCTGGCAGCTGTAGCCAACGCAATGTAAAATTTTATGTTTATATTTTAACAAGCACTGACAATGTCACAATTTGTTACCAGATCAAAACTGAAAGAGCTGCTGACACAGAAACCTCCGCTGTCGAACTGTAAGTGGCCGTGGCATTAGCACCCATGGATGACGTACACCCATGGAAGAACTCTTGAACATAAGACGAATGTTTATATGTTTAGAGTCCTAACAGGGTAAGTTAATTTTAAAAGTATACTGCACTTCTTTTTTGCCTTTCCTCCCAATTGACCTATTCGATAGCTGTCACTGGACCAGGTGTCCCCATTTAAAGATTTCCCATAACTTCCAGTTGTGGTGACAACTAGTGATGGGCTGAACACACCCGACTTGGTGACTCTAAAGGTGGCCATACACTCTACAACCATCGCAAGACTTTAGTCTTGCGATGGTTGTAAAGGGATTAAAAAAACGTACGATCTGCCCATCTTGGACAGGCAGATCGCACTCTCGATCATCGCAAGCCCGCCCTCCTGAGGGGCGGGCTTCCGATGACCGCAATGCTGAACGGGCAGTGTGCGCGTGCGCACACCGGCCCGTTCAGCATTTATCTTCCGAGCACCGTTCTAACCAGCCGAGAAACGTACGATTCCCGGCTGGGTTTCGAACATGCTGGTTCGACAGCAGACGTGCGACCGCATCGCCCTCCTGAGGGGCGGGCTTCCGATGACCGCAATGCTGAACGGGCAGTGTGCGCGTGCGCACACCGGCCCGTTCAGCATTTATCTTCCGAGCACCGTTCTAACCAGCCGAGAATCGTACGATTCCCGGCTGGTTTTCGAACATGCTGGTTCGACAGAAGACGTGCGCCCGTACAGTAGAAACGGTCGCACGTCTCCGTTCACACTGCTCGATTATCGTACGAAAACCCGATCGCATACGATTATCGTACGATAATCGTGCAGTGTATGGGCACCTTTACAAGAACTTTCGAACATAGAAAAATTAAAGTCTATGGGGCCAGAACTTAGAAAATCAAATGTCCCCATTTTGAAGGGTTATATGCAAGTTATTGGCCATAAAAGGGTATGGGGATCAGGGTACTGCCCTGAGGGACATGCATCAATGAAAAAAACACTTAAATAAATACCGTTTTTAAA